GAGGACAACATAACATTTAGATGTTGAGGTCTTGGATTAAGCTACGTTTTATATAGATTGAATGTGCACAGCCGGAAACGATGACAGAGCATGTACATCCAGCGCGTCGACGAACTCGGGCACTAATTCTTCACGTCAGGGAGCAAATTATTCTATTGAGGCAGCTGGGAAGCATGAAAATTGGCCATTTTGCCAAGTCTATACCTTAAATTTGTTCCACTCTATATTTGACGATGATGTTAAGCACATCGATATTCTGCAACATATACTTAACAAAAGATTCGTCTGAACTATTGCTAAGCAGATTTGAGCGATGGCTGGGCAACTAATTTATACAACATTAACCTCCCACGCACACATGTTCGCGGTAATGCGGTGATCATATAAAGGGAAGGCAATACATGATCGGTAAGGCAATACATGAGTGTTGTATATGACGCCATCAACGAATTTATTATATGCCGTGGAGTCGGTGTGTCATTTTTATGTAACAAAATAGCCATAGTGACGAGCGATCCAAGCTCCTGCTGATCACCTATACGTTAAGCCCCATTGTAATTTAGGCGATCTACGCAGCATCTTCTTCGATAATAAATTCTCGTCGAGTGTTGCCTTTGAGCCTTCATGCGTAACATGACCTTTTTGGATTACCGTAAAGAAAGAGAGACCCCAATGAAGTCAAAGACGAGGTTGAGCTGGAGCTGCCCATAAAAATGAATCCAACCGGAATGCCTTGGTCACATAGCTTAATTCAATGACTCTTCCTTTATAGGACAGGCCTTGCATATGTGCAGTAGAGGTATCATTTCGATATTAACCTGTAAAACCTTTTCACCGACGCCGTGTGGGTAATTTATTGGCGCACTGGCTTTTCCTCCGACCGGAGCTTGTTATATGTCATTACGTAATTATCAGACTCTGTGTTGTGGTGCGCCTTTCTGAGGTCGTGTCAGCCGGTATTGATACTAGAGATTTGTGAGTTTGACCTGGTGGTTCATGTTGTAGTTGTGTGTCGCCTCTCTTAATACGTGACACCTTCACAATCCTCTTCGCGGCGGAAAACTACGAGGCTGACATCTAGCCAATATTACCAGCTTTAAAGTATGATTACACGCTACATACTTTTTGGTCCATACTTCAACCTATGGTACGATTGAACGCAGCTTCGAACCGAGATGTAGTAATCACATCACAAATTATGATAGCTGACCACAATTTCCAGCTAAGTGGGAAGCAAGCGATGAATGATGGGTTTGAATTGGGGATGCGGGTTTGTCTGGACATTTTCCAAGAAACTCTGCACCGTGCCCCAATTCCTTGCCCACTAATATAAGTGATAATGAATGCAATGAGCGTGCATTACGTTTCTTTTTCAAATTTTGGTCCTTATACACGACACAACATTCGATAATTACCGACTAATTTCCTTGATAATTTTTTGGATTTATCGCGTTCGCTAGCGTGTAATTAATTTTCCGATTAAAAGGTGGAAATATCGTCACACGATCCAAAACAAAAACGATGGTAGATCAGCAAAGTGACCAATCTTGCGCTGTGCTACAGCATCGTCATTATATTTCGTCTTTGCTTTATCTCACTCTTTACCAATATTTATTAAAAGTTGTGGAAACGTACATACTTTGTGACCCCATGCAATGAACGTGCAAGTACCTTTCGCAAAAATGGACGCACGATTTTACGGCCGCGACATTCTGCCTTCTTCATTAAAATGTGCATAATGCCCACATCCTTACTCCTAGTGGTATGGCAACAAAGTCTAAAGCGCCATAGAGCAATTGCCCGATGATGGCCGACCCATGCCTTCATACAGCCGGTTAACCATCACGGCACGATACACCAGGATTGATCACTGCTAGTAAAGACCGTGCTGACCCAGCTTGTCCGTCATTTCAGCCGCGCTCATAGCGTTCGATATATCCTTCTTGATTGAAACCTTGGTAGCACTGGGTTCCGCAAATTACACCTGTTCAGCGTGCATTCCAGTGTTTAATCAATCACCATGCGAAGAAGCACGTTCTTGTTCAGCAATCACACCATTGCCATCGCATGTGCCAACCACAAAGATCAAACTCCGTGTGTTCTTTTAGTATTGGCGCCACAGTGGACGGATCTTGTCCTGTCCATCGACGTCTTTCGTCTCGAAGGTAATGTTTTTGTACTCCACCTTCACGACGTTAAATCCTACCACCGAGTAAGAGCCACAAATGTAGTAGGACTGCTGTCCTTTATCAAATACACGAAACAGAGTAACAAGCAGCTGGGGAATTTGTTATATCCTTTACTTTATGCATCTATTGAAATATCTTCACGTACTGAGAGTTGGATTGGTCTTGGTTACTTCTCCCAGCTTCAGCTTGTACAATATCGTGGCCAACCGGCAGCGTCAAAACCAGCCATGAGGATGTTCATCTTCCTCTTGTCAAAGAGGCGATTAAAATACGCTCGAGAAAGCCATTTTCATAGTTGCTGACTTGTCTTCTTAGCGGATATACATAGTGAGACGGCCATAATTCATACCGGGATTCTCATAGTGAGCTGCATGGGCGAAGACACAAATCAGTGTTATCGCTCGGGATTCTTCCAATTAAATACTGCAAGATCAATCACTCTATCCTTTGCCGAATAATTCGAATGGTTTTTTCTTACAATCGATTGAATCTTTCGAATTGGTGGGCACGGGATTTGGTCACAGCGCATTTTTACTGGGCACTCTCCAGACAAACCCATGGGGGTGCATACACTTTTATCACCCGTGATTGGATGAATTTCGTCATCACTAGTAATTCTTTGGTCAGCCGCTATCCACCTGGAGAAATTCCCTGTTTTACACCAACTCTGTCAAGCATTTGTGATGTAGCCGCCAGCAGAAAAAGGAACGGACCAGGTTGTGACCGCAAATTAGACGCGACGACCACTAAGACGTGATCCAAATTGAGATTTAATTCAGGATATGTATCTATTGTATAAATAACATGGCTGTCATAAACCGCATATCGCGACCATGCATAGCGATTATATGTCACGGTCAAGGCAAGCGATCGCGCACCACTACCCGGAAGTGTAAAGTTGATTACGATTACGTACCGAGATACGGAAGTGTCATCGAGAATTACGACCACATTTCTCAATCTGAATGTGTGATCAAATATAATGATCGTGTACCGCAAACTGGTGTGGGACACCTAATATGGAAATATCGCTAATTCATTCAGCACGAAGACGACGCGTGGTGGTCAATCCTGACATACGGGGTAAGCATAGCCATAATTTTGGTCTTTAGTTGATTAAAATGTAAGAAGCTCAATTTGCATGAAATTAAATACGTTTGTATCTCCTTTAGGTCGATGTTTTGGCCTCTCGACATCAGAGAAGTTCACCTACGTTCTAACTATTTCACTCCGGTAGTTTTTGGACAGGAGTGCAAGAATCTCGACAATTCCGCAACTGCTATCGGACGCAGTAAGCACCAGATAACTCGGTACAAGATCGCAAGACGGATCGATAGGTCAGAAGGTTAGCGAATCAAGCAATCGCTTTGGACAAGACGATCATGAAGAACATCCGGGAAACTTGAATAGATTCTACCATGAACACCTCAACCGCGTGATGTTTCCGGGCCGATCGTGCTGGTCTTGACCACAGTCAACTTACGCATAGAAAAAAATTCACTTAGAAGAGCAGCCCGCCCTACCGACAGGTAAACTAGGATGGGAAGGTTTACAACACGAGATTGTGGAATTATATCCGTGAAATGGAACTCAATTTATTCAGCTAACTGAGTAAACCTTGCACTGCTGACATTGCATGGGTGTGTGCATCCAACTATCTCACGTACACGTACGTTCAGAGGAAGATTGCTACACGGAGTAAGAGTACTCAGCAAATGCAAAAAGTAGAGCTGTATTTAGTACAATTAATCTTTATAATTAATCCGTATTTGACTTCAATTTACTATGTCAAAATTCAAACATGTTTTGTAACTATCTGCGCAACACGCATTGCGATCTTCTGTCGCGGTTGAATTTTATTAAATATTATCTCGATCGCATTTTAAATAATGAGCAGCGTGTTACATCTGCAAATCAACACTATCTATTCGGATGATAGCGTGAGAAATTTTGTTTGTCCCAACATAATATTCATACTTAATAATTACTTAGTGTAAATTAACAAGTAACGGAGGCGATTGTTACACTAGAAGCGTAAAGACGACGGAGTTTGTGGACCTGCGCACGTAGCGATTGCACGTACCGCTAGTACCCAGAAGCTAACAGAGGTCGTAGTAACATGTGAGATCTCATAGAGCTGGTAACGGCAGCTATCGGCTGTGGCCACGACCACCAATTCACCACACGTAGGCCCATGCAAGCTTATGCTTGTAGTACTTAAGTGACAGGGCACTCTTCGTTTGGGGTACCACGAAACGTCACGTACACTAGTACATGCAGAGGAAACTAGTCCACTCAAACAGCTCGTTTGAGTAAAGGATAAAAAGAGAACTGTATTTAACATAGTTAAGCTATCAAAATAACTTCAGTCTTTATCTAACTATATTAATCTATATTGTCGTATGACGACAACTTGCTCACCACTCATTGCGCGCGTCTAGCAGCAAATGATGGTAACCTATATGATATGTCTTATATCCACCAATTTTTGAGCAGCGCATGAATATTATCCTAGACGGGAATAATATTCCTTTAATATTATCCATCTCGATTAACATTGGTAGGATATTGTCATGCTAGACAATCTCCCTATTGGCACCTTACGGTGTCAATATCATGTAACGGGATACCCCGTTAAACCACCCCCCTTAACCATCAATCACCCGTTGATTGAACTAGAATTGATTGGGACAGGTTGACCACCGTTGGATCACCCTGGGAAAGGGAGCACTTGTTGGTCAAATCACATTCATTTGCTAATCTAACGCATGGTTTCGAAAACCACGCAAGCTGCTACTGCAGCCGCGGAAAATGCCTCTCACACCTCAGCAGCAGGCGATTTCGTCGCCTGTTGTCGTGAATCCTCCACGTGGTGAGTCACCACGCGCGACAGGTACATTCGTTGCGTCTGCAGTGGGTACCTTGAGTCGTAATGAAGATGATGCTGAGATAGAGCTCGTCTATTCTGGCGAGTCGGATGATGCAGACGACCCGAAGGCGACTCCTCACGCCTCCGGATCACCCGAGGCGGGCACAGCAAGAGCCAGGTTTTCTGGCTATGGTCAACGCAGCGGTATCATGTCCGAGATCTTCGGACCGAGCTATTCTTTTGATGAATCCTCGTCTCACGCAATTCCATCCGACGATAGGACGCGTGGTGAAGGTAGTGATGCCCCTATGCTTCACCACGAGAGAGGCAAATCCAGAGATCGACCTGCCACTGGTGTCAGTGGTCGTGCTGACACCACTCAAGAGTCCAGGGACCACAATGTCCTGCGCCATGCTCCTGAAGTGAAGTCTCCTTGGTTGCCGTCATCCAAAGAGTTAGATTGAGTGGAAGGCTTGACCACCGTTCGGAATCTAAGCCCATTAGTTCGACTGTAGGAGAATCTGTCCTCCTAATTCCAGCACGGAAACTATCCGTGCTGAGAAAGAGTTCTTCACCGATGTGCTTTTCAAACATCGGTGGTACAATGACAACCGTGGTTGAGACGGTAAGGTCTTTGTGCAAGGATGAAATGCCTTCATCCATAACGTCGAGTGCATTGGCCGTGAGGCCTGGCTCGGTAAACTTGATGTAGCTCGCGTCAAGTTTGAGAAGCGCAACCCAGTCGGTGTACGGTACAAGTTACACCGGCTGTCAAGAGAGGCAGGATTACTCTGTCTCTCGTGGGGTGATTCGTGTCCAGGTTGCCTGGACAACTCAGTGGCCCTAGGGATGCCTTCATCCCTAATGATCCCACCTGGAGGGCGCGCATCTCTTCTGAGATGACCAAAAGGATTGACACTTTGCAATCCCTGTACTCGTGTTCGAAGAGGTATTTTCTTCCGAAGGCTCTTCTTCAAACGTAGCGGGTGGGTCTCGTCGTATAGCTCGACGTGACCCAGAACATCAACGATCAGCTGGGCACGATGATCTCAGCAGTCCCAGGATGGTGGATAGCCACGCCAGACGACGACGTGACTCGTCTAGACGCCATTCAAGTTGCAGAGGTTCAATATACGCTCCACCAGAAAGTGTTGACCACCGCCAGAGTCCCCCAAAGGATGTGGTGGTGGTTGGAACAACTGATCCAGCTCGAGGGTAGGATCAGCTTGGTGTTCAGGAACTGGTCCGTGTAACGGAACAGTTGCAAGATGACCTGGCTCATGTACGGACTCGGCGTTAAGAGCTCCACGATCTTTTGAAGGATAATTACAATTCCTTAGCGCACGATCGTTCGGACAATCGTGCCGCGTCTGCGTTCGCGCAACTTAAAAACGAACATTCGACTCGTTCTCTTCGTGACGAGCTGACTGTAGCTCGTCAGGACATCGCTCAACTGCGTGACCAGGTCGCTTCGCTAGTCGACCAGACTGGCTTGTTAAAACGAAACCACTCGAAGGTGGTATCGGCTCTCGACTGTGGAGGTGTTCTTCGCATCTCGAAACGGGCTCGTACTGATAGTATGGGCGGAGACGACAGACGTAAAACATAGGATGCGCGCGCTCTTACGGGGAAGTTCAATCGTGTATGCGTAGCCCATCCGGCGCAACACACGAAATGGACCAAAGTAGTTGAAAATTATTTTACTGCTACCCACGTTTGTCACTGCGTGTTTCGGTAGGTTTACTGTAGACAGCAAAACTGAATCTCCCTTAATCAAATGAAAGGACATTTGCTCTTTCATGTTTGTTTGTGCTTCTCTTCTGTCTGTCTAGTGCATCTGCAATAGAGTCTTGAACGAAGCGGACAACCGCTTCGTGAGTCAACAGAAATTTCTTTGCTGTGTCAACCTTAATGATAGTAGTGAGCTTCATGTGCGCTGCTGAAAGAACGTTGTCTTCACCAGTGAGGGCTTCATCTTCCTCACTATGGCAGTCGTTGGCGATGCTGAATATACCAGCATCGTCGTCATCATCGTCCTCGGTGTCGATGTGTTTTACATCGGCATCCAACACGTCGACACCATTGTCGACGTGCGATGAGCAAGAGCCAGATCGGGCTTCGTTCGAGCGAGTCCACCCCCCTTAATTTAAAGCCACACTCTAAGAAGGCTGTTAAATGTGGATGGCGCAAATTATTCACGAAGAACGGTGTATGCGTTGTCGACGCATGCACCGAGTTTTTGATGGCGAGTTCTACCATCGGCAAGAACTCACTCCAACTCGTAAACGAGTGGAAGTACCCTCGAAGTATCTTTCGAGGACGCGGTTGACACGTTCCGTCTGACCATCTGTTTCTGGATGGTCAGAAGATAAATTCGTCAAAAGTGTTTCAAGTGGATGGAACACGGATTGACAGAAATCCGCTGTGAAGCGGGGGTTCCTATCCGACACGACTTCACGGTTCATAGGGTAACCCGTGAAGTCGGAAGATAGTATCGATGAAGACACGAGCACAGCCCTAGGCTGTGATTGACTCCGGTACAGCAACAAGATATAACGTCTTGCTAAACCGATCAACAAGCACAAGAATACCAGTGTTCTTGTGAGCGTCCTGGAAAACCCAAAGACAAGTCCATAGATACGGACTGCCAGCACTCTGCCGGAATCAGCAGAGGCTGTAGGGTGCACGGGATTAAGGACTAGGCCTTACCCGTTTTAAATTTCGCAAGCGCGAATGTGTTTGCGCACAAACTCATACTGGCGTGGCCAGTAAAAGTCACGACTTACCGTGAGGTAAGTCTTTCTATACCGCGATGTTCACTCGTTGGGGCATCTTGACACTCATACATGATGATCAATCGCAAATCACCCTGAGCGCGAACAACGACACGAGGCGTGTCGGCCGTGACTGCTGTACAGTACAGCAGTCCATCACGAACCAAATACCGTCGTGTTGAAGAGTGGTATAGAGACGTCAAGCTTTTTAAAGCTTGACTGCATGGATAGTACATATAATCTATAAATCGCAGAAGAGACTCATCTTCTGCGTATGCTTTTTCGCACGTCGTCGAGCAGACTAGACGACGGAACACTCACTGATAGTGGTGCAACAGTGGGGTCACCCCTACTGTTGGGTCAAGCAGTCGGCTCGAAATCGTGCCGAAGCGAAAGAGCATCAGCGACGACATTTAGTCGTCCTGGTTTATACTCGACGGAGAAGTTGTACTCCGCGAAGAAAGACAGCCACCTCGCCATTCTTTGCAATAGGTGTGGACTGTTTACGGCCATGCGTAACGACGCGTGGTTGGTATAAATGATGAAGGGCCAATCTTTTAAGAGATATACCCAAAACTTGGCCAGTGCATATTTCATGGCAAGGAGTTCCTTGTCACACATTAAGTAATTACGCTCAGCTGCTTGCAGCTGACGCGATTGGTAACAGACGACGCGCTCAAAGTCGTCTGAGTCATACTGCATTAACGCGCAGCCAATTGCGAAATCGCTGGCGTCACAGACCACATGGAATGGTCCGTCCTGGTATGCAATCGCCAACGCAGACGATTGTATCAAGCTTTTCGTGATACCTTCAGATAAGTGGTGACACTCAACACTCCATGACCACCTCTCGTTTTTCTTTAACAGAAGAGAGAGATGTAAGGTCATCTTGGCATAGTTGCGCGAGTATTTGTGCAAGTGTGCCGCCAAGCCAAAATTATGGAAGTCCCCTGACGTCGACTGGCACGGACCAGTCGCTAATCGCCTTGATCTTTTCTGGATCAGGGCGTGCACCGTTTTTAGCCGCGATGCAGCCAAGAAGTGGTATTTCGTTCGCTGCGAATATGCACTTCTTGAGGTTCGCAAACAACTTATGCTCTCGCATTAGAGTAAAAGCCTTCCGGACGTGGGTTCTATGAACCCCACGTCCGTCTTTCCATCCATAGCCAGGCTATGGACGAAGACATCGTCGAAGTAACTCGGTGCGAAATCGCGCACCGATCGCAACAGGTTTGTAACACTTGTGTTTAATGTTGCAGGGGCGTTACTAAGCCCCTGTGGCATCACTGGCCACTCACAGAGCATACCACTGGGGTGCTCACTGCTGTGTAAGAGATATCACGTTCACGCATGAGGACCTGATAGAATTCATCCATTAGATTCATGGACGAAAAGATGGTACTCTTTTTCATACCATCCATGATGACATCCTTTATTGGGATCGGCATTTAAGCCAGTACAGTTGCAGCGTTCAACTGTTGAACGCGTGCACTATACGCCATCCTTCTGTGGCCTATCGCACACAGAAGGTCGGAGAGCTGTGTAAGGATGTTAATTCCATCACATGAACAGCCGCTAAGCGATCGGCAACTAATTTGTCGATCGCAAGTACTTGTTCACGAGGCAGTGGCCACTGCTTCATGACACAGTGCTTTGAATCGAGTTTCAGTTCTATCTCATGCTGAGTGCCTTTGTCATTAGGCAGCTCGCATGGCACGGATTTAGGAAAAACATCCCTGAAATCGACCAAATTCTCACACAAAGGATTTGACTTCAAAGACTCCAAAGATTGAGACGTGTATCGCTCAATCCAGTCTTCTCATCGAGGACACTCTCATCCATCGATGAGCTACTGACAACCCGTTCGTTCTTAGTAAACACTTGTGCCGACCGAATATCGGCGACGTACTCGTCCTCTGTGACGAGTACGCAGATCTGCTTGATCTTGTCACTACGCAGATCTCGCAAGAATCTTTTAGATTCTAGCGTTGGCAACTTGATTACCTCCAAAGATGACTACGGAGGTGTAGCCAGATCAAGCGTATAAGCGCCTACACTTGATCCGTCATTCACCAAGACATTCACTGTCTCAGTGGTTTCCTGAGAAAACACACCCGCAGGTGGTTGGGGATCCACACTCTCTCGGTATTTAACACTCTCAGGAACGCTACAACTTTCTTCCAATACGTGTTCTGACTGTGGGTGCAATACCACAATCACGTCCTCTTTGATCGAATCTCTTTCATTCGATCGGGCTTGCTTTACGATCGACTCTCTGATAGTCAATCTCGATTTAACGTGTTGTTCATCCGGAACAACACTAGTCTCTCTTCGCGAATGCATCCTTGTTGTTGTGCATCCGTGTTCCAGTCCACTCGATCTCTTCGAGTGGTGAACCTTCAGCGCAGGTTGTGTCTCTACACAGGTGCCGGAATCTGTTTTGTTACAGTGTAGTGGCCTTCTACACTGTGATCTTGTGCAATCGTACTAATGACCGTACCCCAAGTGAGGCCATCGCATTCACTCGTAGTACATCCACATGCTTGTGGACGCTCCGAGACGCCCATCATATGGCCATCTGATGAACAAACGGCAAGCATCTTCACGATCGATGCTGCCATCTAACCCATGGCTGGTATTTTCGAAGCCATGGTAGACCGAGGATGACATAAAATTTTCTTGCAAATCCAGTACGATGAAGCCATCATCTTACTGCTTTCCTTCTAGCGTAGTGGATTCCCACTACACGTTTGCTCACTGTTACGGATGCGCCTGTAGCAAGGCACACCGTCATCCTCCTTGGAGGGAACTCTCGCTCAACATAGTTGAGTCTACTATCCTCTAGCGACTGGCGTCGAAAAAAACTTTTCGACGCCCCAAAGTCAACTTGGACGCACAGTGAAATTCTACTTGTCACTTCGATCTTCAAAGTGATGAGGGACACCTCATCACTAGGGGCAGTAACACAAGCTATTGTGTATTGATGGCAATCTTCGTCAAGAGTCCTGAAATCTCTTAACGTTGCTGGATCAGCAGGGTGCTCTTCCCCTACTGAGCCTGTCCGTTTTTGGCGGTCCGACTTGTTGTCGCGGCTTAGCGACATGGTAGGAACCGCGCCTTGGACCTTTCCTCGGCCAACGGCGGTCATCGCGTCCTGTCTTTGGACGTGATGCGTTGCTTGGGATACTATAATCATGAGCGTTGTGCCCAATCTTCTGACAGCGATGGCATCTTGCCGTTCACTTGGGACTCAGAGAGAGCGAGGGCTATCGCTCTCGATATAGCTGAAGTCCATTTGTTCGGGACCTCCTGTTTCCTATCGTCTCTTCTGACGATAGTTTGACGAGTTAGCCTGAGACTGTCTCAGGCCGAAGTCTCCTCGTTCCGCATACGCTATCGCCTATTCCAGCGTATGTAAGTCCTCTCTGAACATGTAGATCTTCACCGGTACATCTACAAGGCCTTATATGAACACGTTGCTGAGCGTGTGCTCATCACCAGGGCTTCACGTGACGCTACTCGCAAGGTAGCGGAGGTGTTGTGTATAAGCATGCACATCATGCTTACCTTGCTTTAGCCTCAAGAGTGCAGAGCGTGCTCTGACCTCGGCTCGTGGCGGCTCTAACGTCTCTTTGAGCCGAGACTTCAAGATCTCTAACGACTCAAACACGTTTGAACCGTGAAGCTTGAGCCCCAAAGTCGAAGTCTTTGCTCGTCCCGTCAAATTTGACAGGGTGAAGGTGACTTGTATCTCGGCACCCTCGATCTGACGGGCCCTGATGGCGTCGTCTAACTTGACAAATCATCTCAAAAGAGAATCTTCATCAGTTCCACTGTACCTTGAGAAGTCGATCTTTAAGGTTTCGTGTCGACGCCTCTGGGTCGGCCCGCTCATCGACTGATGAGAGCCTTGCCGTTGTAGCAAGGCTATCTTCTGTCTTTCGACGGCAAGTTCCCCTTGTTGGAACTTGTTATTAGCAGCATGTTGCTGGTCTCTGCTTAAAAACTACAATATAATTGTAACGGGGTGAATCGTTACATAACAATTTATAAGAAATTGTTAAGAGAATATAACTATAAGAGTTATATTCTCAGAATATTGTCATAAGGACAAATATTCTGTAGCACTTACGAGTAGTTCCTAATTGGTTGATATAGGCCATTATATCAACCAACGAAGACGCGCCACGACAGACGCACACAATGAGTGGTGAGCAGATATTTGATTTACACATTTGTATTTAGACATAGTTAGATGAAGATAAATAGTGATTTATTGCAGACATTAACTATACTAAATACAGTTCTACTTTTTACTTTAACCAAGTACCCGTTTCTTCTTACCGTCTTCCTCTGCACGTACGAGTGTACGTGAAGTTCCGAGGCACCGCCTTATTCTGTCATCAGAATAAGTAGCTTGTACTGTTACCAGTACAAGCTTCAGGGTGCCCCGTTACACCTGGTAGCACTTCGTAGTCCGTCCAAGGACCACGTTCACATCCAACAAGAATATGTTGGATGATGAAGATGACCAAAGCTTTCACGCTACGCGTGACGGCTACTCCCATTTGAGCGATGTCGAATGGGATGCGATTAAACGAATGGGTTCAACCATGGGCATCCATGCTGTTAGCGTCATGCTAGAGGCTCTCAATAGAGATGCCCAACATGCTACTATCGCCAAGTTCATTCAAAATGAACTTGACGCTGAACGCGAGAAAGTAGCCTTGCTTCACCAACAAGTTTCTCGACAAGCAGAGTTGTTGAGAGAACAGGGTGCTCAACAGTTTGAACTGTTGAGACAGCAGCAGGCTGCTGCTGGTGGGTCGATGCACTCGCGTCGACCCGAAACCTTGAAGATTGACATCTCCAAGTATAGGGGAGTCGAAGAAGACTCCCTCGAGAGATGGTTCGTCGAATTGGATGACGCCATAAGGGCGCGTCGCATCGACGATGGGGATATGCAAGTTGCATTTGCTCAGTCAAATCTGGCAGGACGTGCCAAGACTTGGGCTTTGGGGCTCAAGTTGCATATGCGTTTGGGTCGTTGGAAGTCTTCAAGTCGCGGCTCAGACAAACGTTTGAACCGCCTAGAGCTGATTTCAGAGCTGGAACCGAACTCTTGAAGCTCAAACAGGGTAAGCGTGATGTGCACGCTTACGCGCAACATATACGACATCTTACGAGTTGTATAAGTTCCAATCCGGTGGATGAACACACGTTGGTTTCGGTGTTCATGCAGGGTCTTGCGGATGGTCCCGTCAAGACTCACCTGTTCCGACTTGAACTAGATTCACTAGAATAAGCCATTTCCATTGCGGAAGAGGAAGACTTCAGTCTGAGACAGGCTCGCGCCAGCTCGACATCATATCGTCAACCGAGACGATATGACAACGGAGGTCCAGAGCCGATGGAACTCTGTTATGTAGAGAGCGAGAAGACTCGCTCTACAGACTACAAGAAGTTGCAGAAATGCAACAGATGTCAAAAGACAGGACACTACGCTTACGAGTGTAGTGCTTCTCGTCCAGTGTCTCGCGACACTGGGCGTAGTGACCGTCCACCCATGAGAAAGGGGCAGGGACGAGGGTCCGCTGTTGGTGCAAAGACGCAACAACGGGATGGACCGTCAAAAAACGGACAGGATCAGTAGGTGCGGAGCACCCTACTGGTCCAGCAACGTCAAGAGAATTTGTAGGCCTCTTGATGAAGGTTGCTCCCAACACACAGAAGTTGTGCGTTGCTGCTCTAGGTAATGAGGTCTCACTCATTACCTTGAAACTCGAAGTGACGAATAAGTTGTCCCTTCGAGCTCTAGTCGATTGTGGGGCGTCCAACAATTTTGTGCGACGCCAATCGCTAGAAGATGGTCACTTTAAGTTCAGTGAATGTTACACACCTCCTACGAGGATGACGGTACGTCTTGCGACAGGCGCATCCGTAACCGTAATGAAACGTAAAGTGGAGATCCACTATACGCTAGAAGAGACCCAGTATGATGATGACTTTATCGTATTGGATTTGGATGCCAAATTTGATGTCATCCTTGGAATACCGTGGCTCAGAAGGTACGAATCACGGGTAAACTGGCAACATCGAACAGTAACGATGCCTGCCGCTTGTTCATCAGATGGCCATCTGATGAACGTTTTGAAGCGTCCACAAGCGTGTGGATGTACTACGAGTGAGTGCGATGGCCTCACTTGTGGTACGGTCGTTAGTACGACTGCACAAAACCTTAGTGTAACAAACGGTTACACTTCGGAGCAAATCTCCGGTGGCTGTAAGGAAAAACAGGCTGCGCCGAATGTCCACCACTCAAATAAGTCGAGTGGACCGGGACAAAGATGTATCCCTAGCGGGGAACATCTAGAAGATAAACAATCGATCGCTCAGGTTAAGCGAAACGATAATCCTAGACCGACTGGAGAGTCTTTCGTAGAGGATCTCGCTGTGGTTGCGCAACCCCAGCCAGAGAAAGTTAAGGGAATAAGTCCCAATGTTACAAATACGGCGGAAATAAGTTCCCCGAAACCCGCGGGAATAAGTCCCCGGGAAGCCGAAGGAATAAGTCCTTCGAGGCCTGAGGGAATAAGTCCCCAGGAAATGACAGAGACATTGAATGTTATAGTCAATAACGGATCAAGTGTAGGCGCTTATACACTTGATCTGATTGCGCCTCCGAAGTTGACTTCGGAGATCACTCAGTTGCCAACGCTCGACCACAAAAGGTTCTTGCTTGATCTGCGTAGTGGCAAAGTCAAGCAGATCTGCGTAATCGTCGCTGACGACGAGTGTGTAACCGACATAAGGTCAGCAACAGTGTTCACTGAGGACGAGAGAGTTCTCAGTAGTTCATCTATGGACGAGAGTGTACTCGATGAAAAGACACGAATCGAGCGATATGACTCCCAATCGTGGGAATCGCTCAAGACAAATCCTCTCTATGAAGATTTGGTTGAATTCAAGGATGTATTCCCTGAAACGGTTCCGTGCGAATTACCGAAGGATAAGGTATTCGACACGAGGTCGAGCTTAAACCAGGCTCGAAGTATTGTGTCATGAAGCAGTGGCCACTGCCTCGTGAACAAGTACTTGCGATCGACAAGTTCTTTGCCGATTGTTTAGCTGCGGGCCATGTGAGGGAATCAACTTTCCCACATAGCTCTCCGACCTTCTGTGTATGAAAAGCAACAGGAGGGTGGCGGATAGTGCACGCGTTCAACAAATTGAACGCTGCAACGGTACCGGCTCAGACGTCGATACCAAGGAAGGACGTAATCATAGATGGTATGTCAAAGATTACCATCTTTTCGTCCATGGATTTGATGGATGGCTTCTATCAAATCCTTATGCGGTAACGGGATATACCCTATACCGCAGTTAGCACGCCTAGCGGCATGCTCTGGGAATGGCTAGTAATGCCACAAGGGCTCAGTAATGCCCCTCCCACGTTCAACAGATGTGTATCACATCTGTTGAGACCAGTACGAGAATTCGCGCCGAGTTATTTCGATGACGTATTCATCCATAGTCGAGCTATGGATGGAAAGTCGGACGTTGAGGTTCACAGGTACCACGTCCGACAGGTTCTTACAATCATGCGAAAGCATCAATTGTATGCAAACCTCAAGAAGTTTATATTTGCAGCAAGCGAAATACCACTTCTTGGGTGCATCGTTGGTGAGAACGGTGTACGTCCTGATCCCGAAAAGATCAAGGCGATGACCGACTGGCCTGTTCCAGTTGATGTCAAAGGTCTTCGAAAAATCCTTGGGCTAGCGGCGTATTTGCATAAGTATTCACGCAATTACGCCGAGATGACTGTGCACCTCTCTCGTTTGTTGAAATAGAACGAGAGGTGGTTATGGAACGCTGAATGTCAGCGCTCCTTTGATGGTATCAAGCAGAGCTTGATACAATCCCCATTCCTAGCAATAGCCGATCAGGACAGGCCATTTCATGTGGTCTGTGATGCCAGCGATTTCGCAATCGGCTGTGCATTAATGCAGTACGATCTTGAAGGCGTTGAACGCGTCGTCTGCTATCAGTCGCGTCAGCTGCAACCAGCTGAGCGGAACTATCCAGTGCATGACAAGAAACTCCTTGCCATGAAGTATGCACTCGCGAAGTTCAGAGTCTATCTCTTAGGAGATAGACCCTTCATCGTTTGTACCGACCATGGGTCATTACGCACGGCAGTGAACAGCCCGCACCTTTCACAACGAATGGCGCGGTGGTTGTCATTCTTTGCAGAATACAACTTTACGGTCGAGTACAAACCAGGACGACTTAATGTCGTCGCTGATGCACTCTCACGTCGTACCGACTTTGAAACAGTCGCGAAACCCAACCGTGAGACAGTCACTGTTGCGGTTATGACGTCCTCAGTCCCATCTACAACGTTGTATGATGATGTGAGGCGTGCATACGCCCAAGATGGTGAGATTGTGAAGCTGTTGACACATCTCTCCCAACCATCTCGAGAATCGTTGAAACGATTGTCGTCTGCGTATCGATCTGCATCAGATCGATACACTACTCGCAACGGTTTACTGTACTATACAGCCGTTTCTGGTGACACACCACGTGTTGTCATTCCAGATGATATTGATCTGCGTTTGCGATCATGTTCGAGTATCACGATGCTCCTATAGGGGGTATCACTAGAGTCAAGTCGAGGAATTAAGCTGCTACTGGTGATAGTGCTCATGCTGACATCGCTTGAAGGCCAGGGACCGTAATGTCCTGCGCCACGCTTCCCAAGTGGAGTCTCCGTGGATGCCGCAATCCAGAGTGTTGGACCGGTTGGCCGGCACGACTACCGAACGGGATCGAATCCCGTTGATCGATTGCAGGACGATTTGCCCACCTGATTCCAGCACGAAAACTATCCGTGATTTTTTGCTAAAAAATTCAACGCTTGCAAATGAAAAAAACCTGGAGATTTAATTTTACATCGATAAGGTTTATTCGTACCATCAGAAATTAAATAAACACCATATTCACCTTTAGGTGCTTCAATAACTGTATAAGTTTCCCCACTGTTTACACTAATATTTTCTGAATAATATTTAAAATGATGTATTAAAGATTCCATTGAATTTTTAATTTTTGTTCGATCAGGATTAATGATTTTTTGATCGTCTATTTTAATAGGACCATTTGGTATTTTATTAAGTACTTGAAAAATAATTCGAAGTGATTGACGCATTTCTTCAATTCTAATTAAATAACGATCATAGCAATCACCATTTGAGGAATAGTTCTTCACCGATTCGCTCTTCAAACATCGGTGGTACAATGGTAGCCGTGTTCGGGACGGCAGAGCCTATGTGAAGGGACGGAATGCCCTTATCCACAACATCGAGTGCATTGACCGTGAGGCCTGGCTCGCCAAACTCAATACAGCTCGCATCAGGTTTGAGAAACGCAACCCAGTCGGGGCGCGACACAAGTTGCACCGGCTTTCAAGATAGGGAGGATTACTCTGTCTCACGTGGGGTGATTCTTGTCCAGGTGTCCTGGACAGCTCGAAACGTGCCCCTACGGAGGCCCCCCTCCCTAATGATCCCTACTGGAGGGCGTGCATCTCTTCCGAGATGGCCAAGGGATTGAAACCTTGCAATCCCTGTACTCGCGTTCACGAAGGTCGTTTTCCGACGGCCCTTCTTCAAACGCAGCGGATGGGTCTCGTCATATTGCTTGACGAGACCAAGGACATCAACAATCAGCTGGGCACGAGACTCCCAGCTGTCCCAGGCCGGTGGATAGCCACGCCAGCGAACGAGGTAACTTGTCCGGACGCCATTCACGACGCGCTGGTTCAAAATACGCTCCACTAGGAAGCGTTGACCACCGCTTGAGTCCACCAAAGGATGTTGTGGCGGTGGGAACACCTGATCCGGATTGAGGGTCGGATCAGCTTGATGTATTGGAGCTGAACCGTGTAACGGAACAGTTGCGAGATGACCTGGCTCATGAACGGACTCGGCGTTATGGGCTTGAGGATCTTGTAAGAGATAATTACAATTCCCTAACGCACGATCGTTCGAACGATCGTGCCGCTTTTGCGTTCGCGCAACTTAAGAGCGAACGTTCGACTCGTTCTCTTCGTGACGAGCGGGCTGCATCCCGTCGAGTCATCGCTGAACTGCGTGAACAGGTCGCTTCGCTAGTCGACCCGGCTGGCTCGTTGAAACGGGACCACGCGAAGGTGGCCTTGGCTCTCGACCGCGGAGGTGTTCTTCGCCTCTCGAAACGGGCTCATACTGATAGTACGGGCGAAGACGACCGACGTAAAACGTAGGATGCGTACGCATCTTACGGGGCAGTTCAATCGTTTATGCGGTGCCCATTCGGCGCAACACACGAAATGGACCGATGTAACTGGGCAGTAATTTACTGCTGCCCACGTTTGTCACTACGTGCTGCGGTAAGTTTACTGTATACAGTAAAACTAGGTCTCCTTCATCAAATGAAAGAACATTTGATCTTCCATGTTTGTCTACGTTTCTTTCCGGTTTTCAAATGCGTCTGCAATAGAGTCTTGAACGAAGCGGACAACCGCTTCGCGAGTCAGCAGAATTCCTCTGCTGATTAATCCTTGTCAACAGCAGTGCGCTTCGTGTGCACTGCTGAAAGAACTTTGTCTTCTCCAGTGAGGGTGTCATCGTCCTCACTGTGGCAGTCATTGATGATGCTGAATATACCAGCATCGCCGTCATCGTAATCATCGATATCGATCGCATCGACAACGGCATCGGCATCCATCATCTCGACACCATTGTTGACGGGTGATGAGCTAGAACCAGATCGGATTTTGTTCGAGCAAGTCTACCCCCCCCTTAAACTAGAGTCACACACTAAGAAGGCGGGTAAACGTGGATGGCGTAGGTCATTCACGAAGAACGGTATGTGCTTTGTCGACGCGTGCACCGAGTTGTTGATGGCGAATTCCGCCATCTGCAAGAACTCACTCCATCTCGTAAACGAGTGGACGTACCCTCGAAGTATCTCTTCGAGGATGCACTTAACGCGTTCCGTCTGACCATCTGTTTCTGGATGGTCAGAAGTCGACATCTTCAATCGTGTTTCAAGTGAACGGAACACGGATTTCCAGAACTCCGCCGTGTATCGTGGTCTCTATCGGACACGAGCTCACGGGGTAACCCGTGAAGTCGGAAGATAGTATCTATGAAGCCACGAGCATAGCCCTGGGATGTAATTGACTCCGGTACAGCAACAAGATGTACCATCTTGCTGAACCGATCAACAAAGACCAGAACACCAGTATTCTTGTGAACGTCTTTAGAAAATCCAAAGACGAAGTCCACCGATACGGACCGCCAACACTCTGCTGGAATCGGAAGAGGCTGCAATGGTGCGCGGGATGAAGGACTAGGCTTCACCCGCTGACAAACTTCGCAAGCGCAAATTTATTTCTGCACAAACTCATACAATCGAAGCCAGTAGAAGTCACGACTCACCATGAGGTAAGTCTTTTCTCTACCGCGATGCCCACTTGTCGGGGCATCGTGACACTCTGCATGATGCACAATCAAAAATGGTCATGAGCGGGAATGGCGACACGAGGCGTGTCGCCGTTGACTGCTGTGTAGTACAGCATTCCATCACGAACTGAATACCGTTCTGTTGAAGAGCGGTATTGAGACTACAAGCTTTTCAAAGCTTGATTACACGGATCGTATACGTAATCCATCAATCGTAGAAGAGACTCATCTTCTGCATTTGCTTTTCGCACATCGTCGAGCAGATTTGACGACGGAACACTCACTGTTAGTGTCGCTACAGTGGGATCACCCCTACTGTTGGGTTGAGCAGTCGGCTCGAAATCGGGCCGACACGAGAAAGCATCAGCGACGACATTAAGTCGCTTTGGTTTATAATCGACGGAGAAGTTGTACTCCGCGAAGAAAGACAGCCACCTCGCCATTCGTTGCGAGAGGTGTGGACTGTTTACGGCCGTGCGTAACGACGCATGGTCGGTATAAACGATGAAGGGCCTATCTCCTAGGAGATATACCCGAAACTTGGCCAGTGCATATTTCATGGCAAGGAGTTCCTTGTCACACATTAAGTAATTACGCTCAGCTGCTTGCAGCTGACGCGATTGGTAACAGACGACGCGCTCAGCGCCGTCTGAGTCGTACTGCATTTACGCGCAGCCGATTGCAAAATCGCTGGCGTCACAGACCACATGAAGTGGTCTGCCCTGGTTTGCAATTGCCAACATACGCGATGGACCAAGCTTTTCTTGATACCTTCGAATGAGTGCTGACACTCAGCACTCCATGACCACCTCTTGTTTTTTCTGAATAGACGAGAGAGATGTCCGGATATCTCGGCATAGTTGCTCGAGTATTTGTGCAAGTACGCCTCCAAGCCAAGAAACTTTCGAAGTACCTTTGACTTCGACTGGCACAGGCCAGTCGCTAATCGCCTTGATCTTTTCCAGATCAGGGCGTACACCGTTTTTACCCACGATGCAGCCAAGAAGTGGTATTTCGTTCGCTGCGAATATACACTTCTTGAGGTTCCCGAACAACTTATGCTCTCGCATTAGAGTAAGAGCCTTCCAGACGTGGATTCTATTGAATCTCCACTTCCGTCTTCCCATCCATAGCCCGGCTATGGACGAAGATATCGTCGAAGTAACTCTGTGCGAAATCGCGCACCGATCGCAACAGGTTTGTAACACTTGTGTTGAACGTTTCAGTGGCGTTACTTAGCCCCTGTGGCATCACTAGCCACTACCACAGCAGACTACTAGGGGTGCCCACTGCTGTGTGCGGGACGTCCCGCTCACACATGAGGATCTGATAGAATCCATCCATCAGATCCATGGCCGAAAATATGGTAATTTTGCCATACCATCTATGATCACGTTCTTCCTCGAAATCGGCGTCCGAGACGGTATCGTTGCAGCGTTCAATTTGCTGAACGCGTGTACTATCTGCCACCCTCCTGCGGCCTTTTGCACACAAAAGGTCGGAGAGCTGTGTGAGGATGTTGATTATCTGACATGACCGGACGCTAAGCGATCGGCAAAGTATTGTCGATCGCTGTGGCCTGTTCACGAGGAAGTGGCCACTGCTTCATGAAACAGCACTTCGAACCGGGTTCAGTTCGATCTCATGCCGGGTGCCTTTGTCCTCAGGCAGCTCGCATGGCACGGGTTCCAGGAAAAAATCCCTGAATTCCACCAAATCCTTGTACAAAGGATATGTCTTCCAAGACTCCCAAGATTAAGACGTGCATAGCCCAATTCGGATCTTTACCTCTAGGACACTCTCTTCCGGCAATGGGCTTCTAAGAACCCGTTCGTTTTCCGTAAACACTTGTGCCGACCGAACATCGGCGACGTACTCGTCCTCTATGAAAAGTACGCAGATCTTCTTGATCTTGTCACTGCGCAAAACTTGCAAGAATTGCTTATATTTCAGCGTTGGCAACTTGATTACCTCCGAATTCGACTTCGGAGGTGTAACCAGATCAAGTGTATAAGCGTCTACACTTGATCCGTCATTCACCAAGACATTCACTGTCTTGGCGCTTTCCTTAGAAAACACATCCGCAGGTGGTAGGTGATTCACACCCTCAGCATAACTCTCACGGGAGTTATCACTCTCAGGAAAGCTGGAACTTTCTTTCTATACGTGTACTGACTGTGGATGCAGAACCACAGTCACGTCCCCTTCGATCGACTCTCTTTCAGTCGATTGTGTTAGCTTTACGATAGAATCTCTGTCAGTCGATCTCGCATTGACGTGTTGTTCATCCTGAACAAAACTGATCTCTCTTCTTGGATGCACCCTTTTAATGTGCATCCATGTTCCAGTCCACTCGATCTCTTCTAGACTTGAACCTTCGGCGCATCCTGTGTCTCTGCACAGATGCCGGAAGCTGGTTCCAGTGTAGTAGTCTTCCACACTGTAATCTTTTGTAGTCATACTAAAGACCGTACCACAAGTGGGGCCATCGCACTCACTCCTAGTACATCCACACGCTTGTGGACGCACCAAGACGTTTATCAGATGACCGTACGATGAACAAACCCGGCAGTCATCTTCACGGATCGATGCTGCCAGCTAACCCGTGGCTGGTATTTTTCTAAGCCATGGCAGACCGAGGATGACATCGAATTTGTCATCCAAATATGATACGATGAAGTCATCATCGTACTGCTTACCTGCTAGCGTATAGTGGATTCCCACTACACGTTTGTTCAATGTTACGGATGCGCCTGTAGCAAGGCATACCGTCATCCTCGTTGGAGGGAACTCTCGCTCAACCATGGTTGAGCCAACTGGCTTCCACTGCTGGCGTCGAATAAAACTGTTCGACGACCCACATTCAACTAGGGCGCGAAGTGACATTCCACTTGTCACTTCGATTTTCAAAGTGATGAGAAACTCCTCATCACTAAGGGCAGTAACACACAGAGACTGCATGTTGGGAGCAATCTTCGTCAAGAGTCCTACAAATTCTCTTGACGTTGCTGGATCAGCAGGGTGCTCCGCCCCTACTGACCCTGACCGTTTTTTGACGGCCCGACTTGCTGTCGCGGCTTAGCGACATGGTCGGACCCGCTTCTTGGACTATTCCTCGGCCAACGGCGGTCATCACTTCCGGTCTATGGATGTGTTGCAGTGCTTGGGACACTACACGCATGAGCGTAGTGTCCAATCTTCTGACAGCGATGGCATCTTGCCGTTCACTTATGACGCAGAGATCGAAAATTCTTGCTCTCGATGTATCACAGGTCCATTGGTTCGGGACCTCCTGTTTCCTGTCGCCTCGTCGAACGATAGTTTGACGAGTTAGCCTGAGACTGTCTCCGGCTGAAGTCTTCTTGTTCCGCATACGCTATTGCCTTTTCCATCGTATGGAAGTCCTCTTGGAACATGTAGGTCTTCACCGGCCCATCCACAAGGCCGTTAATGAACACGTTGATGAGCGTGTGCTCATCAACAGGGTTCTCCGTAACGCTACTCGCAAGGTGGCGCAGGTGCTGTGCGTAAGCGTGCACGTCACGCTTACCTTGCTTTAGCCTCAAGAGTGCAGAGCGTGCTCTGAACTCGGCTCTCGGCGGCTCAAACGTCTCTTTGGGCCGAGACTTCAAGATCTCCAGCGACTCAAACACGTTTGGGTCGTGAAGCTTGAGCTCTAAGGTCCAATTCTTTACTCTTCCTGTCAAATTTGACAGAGCGAAGATGACTTGCATCTCGTCACCCTCGATGTGACGGGCCCTGATGGCATCGTCTGACTCGACGAACCACCTAAACG